GCCCGAGCCCCCCCGCAGCTTTGCTCTGCCTCTTCCTGGTCTGCAGACCAGGGAGACGCGGAAAAAGCCCCGGAGGACACGGGCGGCAGGACCGCGAGGTCCCGCAGTCCGTGTCCTCCGGGGGAGCCCCGTTCGTAACTGCGGATCCGAGGTAAGTCAGATCCGCGTAAGTCGGGGACTGCCTGTATATCACTGTTTTACATAACTCTCTTCTTCACAATGTTATATAAACACCAGTCCAGCCAAGAAGGCCAAATAAGAAGTTACAAATAAGAAGTTACGTGAATTATGATAGCATGCTCTTGCTCCTATAGATTGGATCTAATGTTTTTGGAAAGCAGACAATCCCCTGTACATGCATAGTACAAACTTTTTCAATTTGTCAGACAAAGGAAGAAACAATGTTGACCTCGCTTTAAGACATAAGGCAATACCATGACAGTTTACACGAGGTGTCCCATATCCTCTTTGCTACGTGGAAAGAAGTTTTATCACCACAGCCACCTCCACCAAGCAACAACATCTCATTCTAAAAGGAGGGTAGAACTCTCACACGAGAAGACAAAGACTAATCAGTCTCTGACCATAAGCATATTTTTCCATATACTAGAGCCCTCATATCCAAGTTAAGCAGGTATATAACAAAGCATCTAGTTACAAGGTGAATTCAGCCTTTAAAGGTCCTTGGGCTATACCAGTGCTAGTGTTAGCTTGCCTCATGTGGAAGAAGTAAGTGGCAAAAGATCACATGATTAAGATAAGGCCTGTGGTGAGAAGAACAGCAGCTTGTGTTTCAATGAGGGAGGAATAAGAATGGGGGTACAGGTTCAAAGAGAGAGACTTGGAACTATTCTTTATAAAGAGATGGAGAGCAGCCAGGAGGGCCAGGAATACAAGAAGAGACAACAGGAAGATGACAATGCAATTTTGGACCATAAAAGACAAAGAACCTGGTTGTTTCAACTCTGATAACCCACAGTAGAGGGTAGACATGGTCATATACTGCCACCTGTGACCCTCCCCCCCCCCCCCCCCACCCCACCAACAGAACAAGGTACGAATGGAGGAACTAAAACCTCAAAGGGGTAGAAACTGAGCTCAGAAGAAGAGCAGCATTTGTTTGTTGTGGGCTAAAGGGCTAGATCACCACAGCCATCTGAGGACACTGGGAATCAGGAATTCTAGGAACTGAATGACATACTAAAGAAAGACTGACACAGAGGCATCTATCATCTTCCGCTGTATGGTAAAGGAGTGAGCAAACTTTACTCAGAGCTGGAAATCAATGTTTCTCATTTTGAATAAGAGGACATCATCCACAAAAACTAATCCAGAGAAATCTTCCAATTGCTCTTTCCAGACATCATCTTTTTCTTCCTTGTCTTCAAGACACAAACATGAATTGGTGGCTCCTCCATGGTATCTACGGTGGTAGATCTCTCAACAGCCTCAGCACATTGTTCTCCTGAGCAAGTCAAGTGGGTATGGCCCTAATCAATCTCTTCCACCAAAGCTCTATATGTGCAAGATGCAGCAGCAGAGGAAACCTTGTTTATTTTAACCACATCATCTTCCAAATGAAAATTCTTTATTTCAGAGCAAATTCTTCAAGTAATGTAGCTGCATGTTTGTATCTCTTTCCTACTCTACCCTGCCATGCCACTAACACACTGCAAAGAATTAAAATATATTTAGAACTATAAGTATGGCACGATTTGGTTAAGAGCCTGGGTACCAAAAGGTATTGATGTTCTCTAACACACAGAAAGGTCAATTAGATGATCATGTTTCTCTCGGCTTTAAAATCTGATTTAAAAAAAAGACAAATATGGGCAACCAATTCTTCAAGATGTTGTCTCCTCAACTATTTATTTTAAATACTGTCATGAAATTGCCAACAGGTAAACTTTATTCAGATGCCTTATAGGAAGACAAACAAAAATGAGACTATTGGTGGTGCTTTTCAAAGTCTCTTATTATTTTAGAGCCTATTTCAAACCAAATGAAGTCAATCGGAGTCTTTTACAACTAATTTCAATGGCTTTGGAGAAGATCCATAATGCTCCCAGGGATTCATACTTAACTTGTGATTTACTAGCCTACCTATTTCAACTACCTCAAAGTACTCAAATCCTCTTTAAAATGTAGTTCTTCCGCAAAACTGCCCAATAATAACTGCCCCAAAGAATTAAGACAGACAATACAAAATTATATTTTAAAGAATTGTGGCATTTTATATTTGATTTTGATTCAGTTTTCTCAGTGGTACACTTTGATATTTGATATTTTCTGTTTAACTTCATTGTGCAAGAATGAAAAAAGCATTTGAGAGAATGAAATGGATTTATCTACTATATTTCCATGCTATCGACTCCCCTCTTTAGCCCGACCCCCTTAATGCAAAGTAATAAATGGGAGTTTTTCCCTGATTAATGGCCATAAGATGTGGCCCTTAAATTTC